GATAGATAGATAGATAGATAGATAGATAGATAGATAGATAGATAGATGGATAGATAGATGGATAGATGGATAGATACGATTAGTTGGACATTCAGCTTAGTCTCTTTCTTGAAATTTCGAGAGTTTATACTCATTTTAATCTGACCTCATATCTTTTGTTGTTCGTTAAAGGCAAAATGTTGCTTCTGGGTTTCTTGTGTTTTTTATCCTCTCCATTTCCTTTGTTCAGGTTCGGAGCTTCTTCGACTCTCTCACTGAAGAGACTGGCTCAAAGATGAGGTGCATCCAGCAGACGTACGAGACCATCGAAGATAACATCCGCTGGATGGACGCCCACCTTCCTCTGCTGGAGGCTTGGCTGAACAGACGCAGCCGCAGAACGACTCACGAGGATTTATAGCCTCGGAGGGAAGCTCTCACCCCTTTTCACTCAGGTGCTGGATCTGAGCTGGTTTTGTTTGGAGCATATCGCTTAAAACATTTTGGTCTGTTCAGTTTTAGTTGGTTCATTCTCCCCCAGCCCCCCCGACATGTCTTCTGTATTTAGGTCCAGTAAAAAGTTGCTGCTTCTGCTGCACCCGTTTTCCTGAGAGCCAGAACTCCAGTGACAGAACTGGATCAACTGGCGTCTTGCTTCAGTCCAGCACTGGATTTCCTCTAAAGGGAGGGGGTAACGACGACTTGTTTAGAAACAGAAGCGAGGACTCAAATAAATAAAAAATATTTGAGTGGTTTTGCAGCTGAACTGTGAACTTTTGACCTTTTTGAATGTAGTTTTTGATAGATGTATTGAAAACCACAAACTCTTTTTACACTTCTCTAAATTAGTCCAAAACCATTCAATTTTTTTGCAGACACTCAGACATGCAGCTGTCAATTTTCTGACTATGAGAGAATAAAAATATTAAAATTGTTCTCAGTATTTTAAAATTCAGCGTTGTTTTAACTCGGTTCATTGTTTAAATTCTTTATCTTCTTGGTACGGTGTTTCCTGGTCCGAAGCTGGAAACTTATATTTCTGCTCAGAGTTGTTTGTTTTTGGATGATGGCGAGTTTGAACAAATGTGTTTGATATGAAATATATTACAGAAGGCGACTTTAAATACTGAACTGATATAAATGTAGCAAAAGGAGTGCAGAACTATTTCACTACTGAACTGTTTCTTGCCAGCAATATAAAATAAAGATGCAACATAAGTTCTAAAAACGTAGCGCAAAAATCAGTGAGTTTTAATATTTATTTTTCTAATATTAGAACAAGAGTGTGACACATTTATGAATTTATAAATCAAAACCGACATGTGAAGAACTTGTGTGCTTACGATGGATCAAATCCTAAACAGCTTGTTGCCGTTTCCTACAGTTTCTGAAGTTTAGAGCACAAATGTGAATCCTGATTCTACTATTTGAACTTTTTTTCTTTATAAAATCAAAAGGAGTCAGCACGGTTTCACTGTAGAGAATAAATTACTGACGGATAAACCACGTATTGTTCAGAAAAGATGACCAGAAGTGCAGTTTATTGACATTAAACAAGTCAAACTTCTATTATTTTAACAGCTCTAGCAAGTTTTTTTATTGTAGATTTTATTTTTTACGTTTACGTTTTTGGTACCACTTTACAATAAGGCTCCCCTTATAGATGGCTAATATATTTTTATAGTTTAATTCCTCTATAAACACTTTATAAATCATTAATAACTGCTTATTATGCATTAATTAAAGGTGACCGAAACAAAACTGACTAGTTTCTTGCCGAATAGTGAGCCAAATCTGTTCACCTATATATTTAATATTAAACATTTCAAAGTTACTACCTTATAAGCACAATAAGTATTTGTAAACCTAATTTTTTAGGATATAATGTTAGTTGTAGATTCTGATAATGCAGTGATAAAGTAAAATATGCTAAAGAAATAGGTTTACAAATGCTTATTCTCAGTTGTGTCTTTCTGTCACTTAATGCATAATAAGCCATTATTAATGATTTATAAAGTGTGTATAGAGGAATTAATAACACAGCTTTAAACTATTATCTATCTGGGGAGCCTTATTGTAAAGTAGTACCATGTTTTCACCCAGAAGAGTTTGGACCAGATGTTCTGCTAAGAAAATGTTTTAATCTTTAATCTAAAAAAAAAAAAAGTTACACAATCCATTAAAACTCAGCAATATGATGCTTCTGATTCAGTTCAGTTAAACGGTCAGAAAAATGCATTTTTATTGAGAAACCTATGAGAAATAAAGTTTGTTTTAGTCATCATTTCTGTATTTCTCTTACTTGGCTGTGTTTTCTTACTAATAATGATTTGATTAACGGTGTCTGGATGTAACCTTTGTATCCTCACTCTCTTCCAATCAGCAGGACCCATGGTTTCCCCCTGGAGAGACTTTTTTCCTGGTTTGTGCGTTTCATTTCGTAATCATTACAGCTGAAACGTGCACGTTTTCACCCTCCACGGCTTTCGTAAATCACCATTCTTTTATTTACTCTGGTCGTGACAACAAGGTTCTGTACTCTGCAGCTCAGATTATCTCTCGTTCTTCTGGAAGAGTGGATTTTATTAAAAAAATACCGTCGGATCACTCAAGTTTGAGCTTCGGCGGAGACTTTAATTGATTTTTTTTTTGTCCTTTGCTTAACATGTTAGAAAAACTTAAACTGCAGTGACATGAAATCAGGAGGAAGTCAAGTCAGATTTATTTATATAGCTCATTTAAAACAAACTTACCAAAGTGCTTAACAAAAAGATCACAATCAAAAAGTAACAAGATTTATTTACAGCACATGGAATAAAATCTAAAAACACAAAACAATTCCAATGAAATAGTAAATCAGATCACATTGTGTCAAATGTCAAGGAATAATAACAAAAAAAGCATAAACTCAGAAAGAATGAAATACTAAATCAGATGACCATGTGTTAAATAGGAATAAAACAAAAAGCATCTAAATCCGATCACCCTGTGTTAAACGTCAACGAGTACAGGAAGTTATTTAGATCTTTTTGCTCGTTCCTCCAATATATTTCTTTAATTTTCTGATAATCTTGTAAACTTCTCTTTAGAAGTAGCCAAACCTCCATACTTGGACACAAGTGGCTGTTTTGTAAAATCTTTTTAACTCCGCCATAAATCCTGAGGAACTTTCTTACAAACTAACATCTAACTGAACATAACCCCACACTGTATAAGATAATCCTGTTGTATATGTAGCCCTAAAGTGTGAAATAAACACAAATGCAGCCTAAAGAAATCATTTCTGATTGTGTTTCAGTGGCAGATAAACACTCAGGGCTTTGCCCTCAGTCCCATGCATGAACACACACACACCACTCCCCCCACCAGCACACCCACAATAAAAACTGCACTCTGCTCCAGTGATTTTGCCCTTTCAGCTGCTCACCTGAAAAGTGACGTGACTCAACTGAAGGTAAGAGCCTTAACCTCAGCCGGTGTCTTCGACTGTCTGCTAATGAAACATGACTTTCTGCTGCTGCAGGCCCATCAGATTTAATCTAAAAATGCCCGCTGTGACGAATCAGAGGGAGTTTATTTGTTCTGTCACTATTGACAGACATGGCCTCTGTTCCTATCAGTTCACTGATCATTTGCTGGGGATGTTGGCCACAGCTGCTTTTCTTATTTTCTGACTTGTTTTTTGTTTCTTATAAATAAGTTAAAACTATAGAACGGCTAAAACGTGTAAAGATGATGCCCAATGAGAACAGTTTAAGCTACTAAAATTTCTCTTGAATCCTTTTTAGCAAATGCTGAGTAAATGATTTAAGTTTGATCAAAGCCTTATTGAGCATTAAATGACAAGTTGTGATTCAAAGTTATTAAGCGTGCCATCGTCTGGTCTTATTTATGTTTCTTGAAAGACGTCTTAAAACCATCATTTGTTTATGAACCTAAAGCAACTTTAGCATCAGGGTGTTTCTAACATTATACAGCAGGGCTTTACTGGTTTGTCCCCTTTGGAGGTAAAAGATTCACAGATCACAGAAAGCGTACGGTTTTCATTGGGCACATTTTGAGTTGTAAACTTTAATACTCAAAAGACATAGTTTAACTGCTCAGTTGTTCTTGATTTATGTTTTCCTCGGTCAGTTAAATGGTCTCTTCCTTGTATTGCTCATCATCTCGCTGCCTTACTTTCAGTTAGGAACTATTGCCTCCCTCTGCCTGCGTTAGCCATGTTTTCATCCATAGACTAAATATATTGTGAATTTTCTATATATTATATGCATCTTTAGCTCAGTCTAGTCAATGATCCAGATGTATTGCAAATAAAACTTTTACAGCAGGGAATCATAATTTATAAGTTGCATAAAAACACATCACGCAATTTCAAGTTTCAACGTCTCATGGGACGATTAAAAATGAGCCTTTTTCTTGCTCTTATAATACATGAGCTTCTGTTCAAGTCTTATCTCAGTTTTCTCAGTGATAACCTGGTGAACCTCAGTGGAACAAACCTCATTGTATTTTTGCGTAATCTCAACAAGAACAAACTGGATTACTGTACACGGATACCAGTGGACACGATGGACTCAAAGTTTGATACAACACTGGTGGACAATAAAAGTCGGTTACATCATGGCGTCCAGGGCAAACCTTTATTGGTTAGGAGTACAAAGTGTAGTCCCAAAAGAAAATGTTCAAGCTCATATTGTGAAAGTATTTAATTAGTGATTAAAAAAATAAATAATAATGTTTTAATTCTTTATCTTTTAGGTTCTTTCTGTTTGTGGCTCGTTTTCGATTCATCAGCTGTGCTCCATCTCAACAAAAGGATGATATATACATCCTTTCCTTTCATAGAGTAAGACACGTTTCATTTTTTTATGTTTAATTTCAAGCTATTTTTCCCATTCTGTTATACAAAAAACACAAAGAGAAATAGATAATAGTGATAATTTTCTGTTACGAAGGTTTTATTATTATTTTTTTTTTACTTGTGCGTTTTCAGTGAGTCTTGTAACAAACTGAGCTTCCAAGATTAAATGTGGTTTCAAAATGTGGACGGACTGGCATATACATCTTTTATTATTGTTTTTTTTGTTGTACAATCAGAATTTTGTAGCAGCGAAAATTAAATAAAACCAGAGCACATCTCACACTGACTCACTTTTATATTTGTACACTTGTATTTGTAAATCTGTAATTTTCAAGTACAAATATTTGTAATGTGTCACAGCAGGATTTATATTTACAGCACATGATGTTTTGTTTGATTCATTACAGGGGCTATGGCTCTTAAATGATAATTTTCTTTGCATCTTAAGAAATTTTGAATAAATTTTCCTGAGAATTTGAACTTAGTTTGACCACAGAGATGTTTAAATCAGTACAAAACATAACTAAATATATGGAGTTGAACAGTAAAAAAAAGAT